TGCCTGTAGTCCCAGCTACTCGGGAGGCTGAGGCAGAAGGATCACTCGAGCCCAGGAGTTGGAGGTTGCTGTGAGCTAGGCTGACGCCACGGCACTCACTCTAGCCTGGACAACAAAGTGAGACTCTGTCTCAAAAAAAAAAAAAAAAAAAAAGAGATGAAATAGTGTCATTTGCAACAACTTGGATGGAACTGGAAACCATTATCCTAAGTAAAGTATCTCAGGAATGGAAAATCAAACACCATATGTTCTCACAAATAAATGGGAACTAAATGATGGGTACACAGGGGCACAAAGAGATGTAAAGTCCACTGAAAACCAAGAAGAGGGAAGAGTGGGAGGGGAAGTGTGGGATAAAAACTTATATATTGGGTATCATGAACACTATTTTGGTGATGGGCACACCAAAAGCCCTGACTTAAGCATTATACAAGGTATCCACAGAACAAAAACATACGTACCCTTTAATATTTTTTTTTTTTTTTTGAGACAGAGTCTCGCTTTGTTGTCCAGGCTAGAGTGAGTGCCGTGGCGTCAGGCTAGCTCACAGCAACCTCAAACTCCTGGGCTCGAGCGATCCTTCTGCCTCAGCCTCCCGAGTAGCTGGGACTACAGGCATGCGCCACCATGCCCGGCTAATTTTTTATATATATATTAGTTGGCCAATTAATTTCTTTCTATTTATAGTAGAGACGGGGTCTCGCTCTTGCTCAGGCTGGTTTTGAACTCCTGACCTTGAGCAATCCGCCCGCCTTGGCCTCCCAGAGAGCTAGGATTACAGGCGTGAGCCACCACGCCCGGCCTAATATTTTGAAATTTTAAAAAAGTAACTAAAATCTGCAGCAATGGTGCAAGACTCTTAATCATTAACAATAAAATATGCACAGTAGACTCGTGAAGAAAGTATCCTTTATCAAGTTCTATGAGAAACTGGTCAACAAACTTTAGAATAATCCATCTGAATGCTTTAGAGTATTACATACTGTTATCTCCCTACTTAGGATTCCCAAGGATACTTATGGAAATCTAAAAACTATCTTCTAATATTTCAAAATGCCTAAGGTTAGATATATATTTATCTAAGTTACAAGGCTACTAAAATATCACCTACATTTTTTTTGTTTGCGATTTTATCAAGTAGGCATATACAGTAATACCAGCTAGCTGGCTGCTGATCAGAAGTGTTGAACAACAGGTGTATGTGTGTGGAATTAATAAAATGTAGAGAAAATAATTACTTAATGAATATAAAGCATATCTAACTGTCTGAAAACTTGGAATCAATGAATAAAAATAATACAAATTCTTGAAAATATACACAATTATTATTTGTCTACTAAAAATAAAGAGACACCCCACAGAATGGTAAAATATTTACAAACCACGCATCTGATAAGAAGTTAACATCCAAAATATATATAGAACTCAAACAATTTAATTACAAGAAAACAAACTTTTAAAAAACAGGCAAAGGACCTGAACGCACATTTCTCAAAAGAAGACACACATATAGCCAACAGGTACGTGAAAAACTGCTCAGCCTCACTAACCATTAGGAAAATGCCAATTACAACCACAGTGAATATCACCTCACACCTGTTAGAATGGCTATACTCAAAAAGATGAAAGATAAGTATTGGCATGGATACAGAAAAAAGGGAATTCTTATAAACTGTTGGTGGAAATGAAAATTAGTAGTCATTATGAAAAATGGTATGTAGGTTCCTCAAAAAACTAAAAATAAAATTACCACACAATTCCACTTCTGGGTATATATCTAAAGAATGAAGCTCAATATGACAAAAGGATAGCTACATTCCCATATTCACTGCAGCATTATTCACAAATCTAAGATACAGAATCAACCTAATTGTCCATCAATGACTGAACAAATAAAGAGAAAACGGTGTATATAACCCCGATGGAATACTAATCAGGCTTTTAAAAGAAGGAAATTCTTTTATTCATTTAATTCTGTCATTTGCTACAGCATGAACGAACATGAAGGACATCATGCTAAGGGAAATAAGCCAGGCACAGAAGGACAAATACTACATGATCTCACTTATATGTGGAATCTAAAAAAGTTGAATTTATAGAAGTAGAGTAGAACGGTTACCAGAGGCTGGGGGGTTAGGGTGGTGGGAGGGATGGGGAATTATTAGTCAAACAGTACAAACTTTCAGATAGATGGAAGAAAAATTTTGACCTCAATTAAACTAGAGGATGACTGCTATCAATAATGTATATTTTAAAATATCTAAGATAAATTCCAATGTCTCACCACAAAAAATGATTAAGTGAAGTGATGTATGTTTTTATCATTCTACACTTGTATACATATTTCAAAACATCACATTGTACCCCACACATGTATACAAATGACTGTCAGTTAAAAATATTAACAAAAAAAATTCTTGAAAAATGGTTAGCAATATTCACATTGGCTTGTCCAAAGACACTAAATAATATTGTGTGTAGAGTGGCAAGCCAGATTCATTCTAAATAGTGATTTCCTTCCACTGTCCCCTTATAAAATCCCTTTCCTATCTCTTAACACCCTCTGAATGTCAACGGACCTGTAGAGTTCTTTTTCTGGTTAGTAGCCTTACAATGCCATTAATTAATAAAGAAATAAATATTTTAAGAATTATCCATCCCAAGAGTATTTCTATTACAAATATATTAATCAACAAAAGCAAGTCATAGTATTTTACTTAGCACTTATAGGCAAGATAACTATGTGTGTGTGTTCAAAATGAGCCCTAGAAGTTCAGAGACCCTTCCTTAAAGCACAACTCATCACTACATCTCAGGATTTCCCTAAGTGAAACAAAAGAAATTCTATTAATCTCTATGGTTAAACAACTTTGCAATATGGGGCAAATTCTATCACCTTCTTTGAAAGAGAATCACCTATCAAAAGCTACAGGAAGTCCTACAGAGAAGAAACCTATTTAACTTTCTTTAGGCAAATATCCTCCAAATTATTCTGAACCACAAAACCTTTTACTTCCTTTAACTACTATTAACCTGAAACCTCTAAAAGTACTGCAGTTTAAGCCTTTTCCCATCTGTATCTTATCTGTTAACCTCAAAATCAAGAATTAGTGTTAACATCTAAAAGCAATAAATTTGGAAGAAAGTAACAACACAAATATAAACTATTTTTATTTAACATTCACTTAATGTTACATTTACAAACAACCCAAACAACTAACAACTTTAAATAACTACAATTTTTATTCACTATTTTTACAAGCACAAGTGACAACAGGCTGATAATTGGTTTTTATGCAAAAATAACCTCCAGAGAATGCCACAGGACTGGAAAGAATTCAGCACATTTTCCTGCATCTATACATTTAGTTACCTGTAATAATAAATTCTCAGAATCATAATCCTTATAGCTCTTGAAATATCAAGTTTAAAAGTGTGTTTAATGAAAACTCACTGATAGATATTTCATTATACTCTAATGCTGTGAAAATTCAGATTAATTAAAACAAACTCTCAAGTAAATAAACATCTCATTCCCTAATTTTGATATACGAAGTTTACTGTCAGAAAAAAAGAAAAGAAAAGAAAAGAAAAAAAAGAAAAGAGTAGGTGGGTACTAAACAAATCATTTTCACATATACCATGACAAATTTTTTTGCCAAATGTGGTAGCAGTAACCTTGGGAGGAAGAAGTCCTAAAAGGAACAAAGACAGTAGAAGAAAAAAAACTAACTGGACATTAAAAATAATATGTATCATCCCAGTAGGGAAAATGCAAAAAACACAAACACACAAATATAACTAGCAAGTCTTTTAAATAATTCAATTGTATGTAGGATAAAAATAAAACAAATTGAGGTGAAAAAGGTTAAACTGAGAACCATATAACTGGGGATGTATTTTCAATTCAAACTAATCTATCACATTTCACAGGTTTCAAAATTCAATGAACACATTAATGTGCTCAATTGAGTGATTTTCCCTTTTAGCTTAACTTAAAATACCCGTTAATGGATTACTTTCATGGTTTCTCATTTCTGAAAAGGTTTCAATTAAAAATATATTTAACAAAATGCAAAACTGAAAAGTTTCATATGAACATTTATCATTACTATTATCATTATGTATCTACACACTTAGTATCCCCACCTTGGTTAAAAAAAAAAAAACAAACTAAAAATAGTACACTGATGATATCAGCTACAAAGAAAATTAATGATGTATTCCACACTGAGCCACAAAAACAGCACATAATTTGGAATAAGAGGACCTAAGTGTGATTCCTGGCTCCCCCACCTGTTACATGATTTTAAGCAAGCTATTTTAACTGTCTCAACCCATTTTCTCATTGGCTAATGGAAATAATATTACCTTGCTCAATGTTGAGATGTGAAGAAACCAAGCACATGGTATGATTCACCACCTTCTGGGCACAGTAAATGCTTGCTGAGTATAACTAATATAAAGACAGCAGAATTTTTATAGCATAGCTCATCACACATTTTGAGAGCTAACATGAATTAAATCACATCCCCTAAAACCTGCTGACTTAAGTCAGATGCAGTAAAAAGTCCCACACTACTTTCTTAGTAATCAACATTGAGTGAAATTTTATATCTAAAATATTTCAAAATAGGATTATTTTACAAGGCTTAGAAGCCTTTCTTTTGAAAATAGGAAAAAAACTAAGGTAAAGCAAAACTCCTGAAATTAAAGATAATTTTCAGTTTAACTACTGATAATATTCAGACAAGGAGGTAGCATGTTTTAAAATCAAGAGAGCTGAAAACTACTCATTGAGAGGCAGCTGAGCAAAATGGTCAAGAGCTCTGTATTGAGAGTTAGGAAATGAGATTCCAGTTTCAACTTGTCACTAATAATTGACCTGGGACCAGTCTCTGGACTTCAGTTTCCTAATCTATAAAACAACTACTACAAACCATAGATAAGATCCAAGAACAATCTAATCTGGGACTTTCTTTGGAGAGGCAATCCAGCACAGTGGTTAATAGAATGGGCTAAGGCTCTACCACTTACAAGCTATAGAGTGTATGCACACAAAGCACTAAAGTACAGCCTACTTTATACTATCATTGACTGTTTAAAATATTTCACTGAACCATGAAATTATATTTAAATACAGAAGCTAAAAATAAAAAATAAAATACAGAAGCTTAGAAAGTTCTTTCCAAATCAAGACACTATCATTTTACTAGCAGACACCAATGAGTTCATGTGAAAATATTAACACATGCCAACCTAAGCCAAGTTTAATCAAAAGATCATCTCAGAAAATATACATTACCACTAAAAACTTACAAAGCTAATTGTCCCTATCAAAATATCACACTTAAGGTAAAAACAGAACTTCTACTACTTATGTCTTTTTTTTTTAATCTAACACTGGTAATGATAACAGAAGCTTATGGTGTAACCATAGAATTCTTCAAGAATTAACTCCAGGAATGATAAAGCTACAGAATTTAGAAATATAAAGTGAGTTTCAAACTGCTAGAAATATTTCAGAAGTTAAAATCAAGAAGTATTTTACCAGACACATCATATGCCAGGCTCTGTGCTTAGATTAAGTACAAACAACAAAACATTAAAGTTCCTCAAAGTAAATCAAGTTCCAAGGACTTAGAAAGGCAAGTACGCCCTTCATCACCACTTTTCACACAATAAAAGCCACTCATCTACAAATGTTTTTATTTTATTTTTGACCTGTGTAGGAATACTTCCCATTGTCCATTAAAACTGTTTCGCATCCTCAGTTCAGCCCACAAAGATGCTTAAAACCAGCCCTGACATCAGGATCCTCACAGTACTTAAAGTGAAAGGCTTCTAAAAAGATATTTCATCAGATCCGAAGCTTCAGTATTTTATGTTCAATGACGTATACACTTGCATATGCCACTGCACATTAACTGTGTCAACCTGGGTCAAGTACCTAGTTGCACCAATTCAGTTCTTCCCCATAAACTATTGCTAGTAAAGGCAAACTCTACTTCTTCAAAAGTTGCTTTTTGCAATGGACATTAGGCACTAGAAAAGGGAAATTGATTGGCTAGTCATAGTTGCCCTACTTCCATTTCTGGTCCAAAAAAAAGAAACTGTTCCACAGAGAGTAGCAAGGGGGCCATACACAAATCGAGAAGGTAAATGCTAAACTGAACTTTGTGATGGCCACGATTTAAGCGAAAGGTGACGGGGTGTGGGGGAGGGGAGTGATAGAACTGAGCCATCCAAGTGTAGCTTGAGGAAAAAGGTCCACTTCACGAAAGCAGTCAAAGTAGGGGGTGGGAAACAAACCGGTATGGCCGAGCGATAAACCCAGGATGCTAACCGAATTCAGAGGTGGAGGGCCCTGGAGCCCAGGGATCGGAGAAGGGAGACCTTGGGCAAACCCGTAAGGGGAACAGGAACCGGCAGCAACGAAGCGAGGCCAACGCTGCCACAGAGCAGCGTGTAAGGGGACACCACGAAGGGAGCGATGACTTAGGAGGTAGCGATAGCAGGAGGGAGACCAGTGCCAGGGGCGACTGGCAAGTGGCAACTGCGAAAGGCGAGGCACCGGCAGCGGGAGGCGGTGGGACTCTGTTGAGTCAGCACAGCTCCTACTCTGGGGGCACTTGTAGAATCCCCGTTGCTCCTCTGGCCCTAGGGCCCGGGGCGTAGGGTCGGGCCCGCCGGCCGGAAAGATGATGCTCTCTGAACGGCTGGCGTCGGCCCCTTCCCCATTTCACAGGTAAACACTGGCCGCCGTCGCCGCTTACCTCTGTTAACATTATTACACCTCGGGGAAGTGAGGTCCTCCCTAGCCTCGCCGCATGGCAACAGCCGTAGCAGCAGCGAAAACTGCCTGAGTCGCCGCCAACGGCGGCAACTGCTCCTTCAGTCCTCTCCCGGGCGGCGGCTTTACTCGGCTTTGCTGGCTTCCCCCTGGCCCGGCAGCTAGCGACGGACGCGCCGCCATCTTGGAAGAGCGACGTCCGCGTCTCCCCGCGACGTGCGCTCCCATTGGCGGGCGCAGGAGCAGCCGGCGTCTCGTGACCGTCTCCATAGCGCCGGCGCGCGGAGAAGCGGGGGCGGTCCCTTCGAGTGGGCGCCGGCTGCCAGGCCTCCAGGGCTGGACTCTGGGGCCAACCTGGGACTGCAGGGAGTGGAGCGAGGCTCCCGCGCCGGAATCTCCTGGACGCCGGTGCGCGCGTCCGCGGGGGCTGCCCGTCCGCCACACGCCAGGGCCTGCCAGCCTTGGGGAGGAGCGAGAATGGCAGAGGCCCAGAACTCGACTGATGGCGCCGGGGATCTCGGTCGTCTCGGGGACAAGGCGACAGATTTCCTGTAGAAAAACTTGCTTCTCGCATCTCCCTGGCCCCGCGGCGACCGAAGGGCACCCTGGGCGTTCGGCTTTCTTCACTACCTGGCATTTAAATGTTATCTGGTACTGCTCCCGCGCAGTTCCTCTCTCCTAAACTTTGCCCGAAACTTTCTTTTGTCCCTACCAATCCTCAGTGAGTTCTTTGCGGGGATGCGTGACAGGTTGTAGATGTGATACGGGCATATCGGCTTTACTCCATCCTAGCAGAGTTGGACTGTAGCTGTTTTGGCGATTGGCCAGCACCTGCATAACAATGACGGCTTAGTTTTGCTTCAAGTAAGAGACCTTAAAAAAAAAAAATTAAAACAGGCTTTGTCTCTACCACTTTGCTGGCTTATTTATACAATGTATTAGGATGTATACAATGTATCAGGATGAGCAAAGTTCAGCAGATGATGTTGTAAATAGTCCCAGCTTAAATTGAACCGAATTCTGGAATTATGCATAGATAGAAATTCCTGAGACTGACACCATTCTGCATCCACCACTAGGTGGGTTACAATGTGCGGACTTAAAGGCAGTCAATTGTACCTGAATTGTAGTGAAAGTAGTCTACCCGAACATGCTGGCAGAGTGTGCTATCCTGTTGTATGTTAGAAACCAGTTTCCAAGGAAATTGAAATTGTGAAGTAAATGTTCAGGCTTCACATTCGAAACACTTCCATCTCATTCTTACAAGGGGTACAAAGGCATTTGGGGAAACTAAGGCCAGTAGTTCTTTCCCCTTTGCCAGAATCTTTCCCGTCATCTTAACAATAGTACTACTATGCTAAATGAAATTTACTTAATACACTACTCTTAAATTCTCAAAACAATAAGTAAAGGCAATGCAAACCTGTATTAATATTATCTCTAGTCTATTGTGTACACACAAGGAAACAGAATGGTTCATTTAAGCAGTCATGTAAAAATTCAAGAAAAACTCTGATTTTGCTCAGTTCAACTAATTGAAGCAGAGTAGTTTTTGTTGTTGTTTTAATCTACATTTTATGCATAATTTCTACATTCTTGGACCAGCAAAATTCTGACCACTGCGATACAATGAAATGTGTTACTGGTATTGACAGATTAAGCCATGAATAGAAAATAAGATTGGAAAATACTGCCTGGACTGAGGTATTAAGGGAAACCAAGAGATACTAGCGACAACAAGGAATCTGGAAAAAGATACTGTTCCAACTGGTAAATAAGAAAACAGAGAAGGAGGCTCATTAATATTTAAGAACTAGCTAGTGAATTAAAACTGTAATTAGGTGTCTGGCTTGAGTATTCAATTTTATTCTCCATGTCTTTTCCCCTTTTCCAGAAGCAAGGCATTTTTACTATTTTAAAGGTGGTAAATTAAGTTTAGACACAACTTGAGGTTTAAACCAAACTGTGATATGACTTGGATATGCTTTTTAACATTCAGAAGTTTGTCTATAGACCCAGAAGAAAGCCAAACTCAGCTCTTCCAATGGCTTCCCTATTTTCACAGCCAGAGTCCTTTCTGCAACCTAAAAAACCTATGCTAGCTGGCCTCCCAAGTCCTACTCCAGCCCCTCCTCCCTGACCTCATTTCTACTAAGCACTTTGTTCCAGCTACACAGACCTGCTCCCGGCTTCTGTAACACCAGGGCATCCTCTTGCCATGAGGCCTTTGCACTATTATTTCTATTTTGAAGGATCTGTCCACCAAATGTCTGCATGGCAATGCCTCACTTCTGTCGATTCTTTGCTTAAAAATTTCCTTTTTCAAAGAAACCTACCCAAATCATCTCTTTTAAAACATTGCCTCTTCCCCAGGATCCTCCTTTCCTTAATTCAGATTTTTTCATAGTACTTATACCTTCTAACATAAATTATTAATACTTACTATTTTTCTTTCCTGTCGTCTGTCTTCTTTCCACCAGAATGTAAGCTCCACGAGATCAGGGACTTTCTCTTTTGCTCAATGTTGTTTCTTTAGTACCTAAAATACTAGAATAGTGCATGGCACAGAGTAAATGCCCAAAAATATTTCTTAAATGAATAGATGAGTAATTTCCTATAAGACCTCAAAAGGAAAAGGCCTAATTAAAGCTATTTTAAAAACAAAATCCTTGGTGTTGAAAGATTAAATTATTCAAAAATTGGGCATTGTGTGTTCTTACCTTGCAATTAGGGGAATATCACTTCTACTGCCACTAGAATGTTAAAGAAAAGTTTATGACAGGTTTGTGAGCTACACCTTTCCCTTCATATTGCTACTCAAATACCTCTTGGGCATGAGTCAAAGCTAATTCACTAGTAAGGGAAGCAACAAATAGGGTATGCTATTTCAGAGATTTATGGAAATTGAAGTAGTATAGTTGGAATAGAATGCTTACAGAAGCAGCTTTAAAAAAAAGTAATCACCTAATTTGCTACAAATTGCAATTTCATTCTGTGTAGTCTTAAAAACATCCTATTCATATCAGTTGTTGTAGAGGACCTTAGGTTTCCTTAGGACAGGATGATCTGAGTTGCAGGGTTCTTTGGCTATCAATCAGAAATTTAAAACAAAGCAAAACAAGCTATCTTAAGAAGCACATGCTAAGGATGCATCTGTGTTGTTATTGCAAAAGGTTTGATTACTCAGCAGCAGTGTCCAATCTGTCCGATTAATACAGGAAAGGATGATGAGAAGAGGTAAGTGGCAAAAATCAAATGTGAGATGCTTTTAAACAGGCCACTGCCAGGTTTAGTAGATTTTTAAACCTACAAGCAAAGATTAAGAATATCCAGGTCACCTGTTTTTTAGGTTTGCAACAAAAACCATTGCTTCTACATATTCAAGTTCTCATAAATTGGCTCTAATTCCTATTTGAGAAGCAGAAACAGTATAACATTAACTCCCAAGCAAGTACATCTATCAAACAATTGTCACATTTACTATTTTGGTGTCTTAAACCTTTCTATTAACTCCAGTTTGTTCATAATACAATATTATCAATGTTAACTACCACCTCTACTGAACATTAAGTAGTACTATACATTCATTAACGAAGTCCAGTGTCAAAGCCAGCAAATCAGTATTGAAATAATACATTGACAGCAGAGGAGACACATTCTAAGAACAGACAGCAGTAGGATATCCTGATTCTTTGTTATAGTTTTATAGGGCAATAGTAAGCAGAAATCTCAGGGCATTCAGAGTAATCTGAAGTCTAGCCCAGCACATACTTTGCTTTGCTTGCTTGCTTTTTTTTTTTTTTTTTTTTTTTTTTTTTTTTGAGGCAGGGTCTTGCTCTGTTGTTGCCCAGATTAGAGTACAGTGGCATCCTCATAGCTCATTGCAACCTCAAATTTCCTGGGCTCAAGTAATCTTCCTGCCTCAGCCTCCAGAGAAGCTGAGACTACAAGTGCACCCCCACCATGCTCAGCTAATTTTTTATTTTTGTAGAGATGGGGTCTCACTATTGCCCAGGCTGGTCTCAAACTCTTGGTTTCAAGCAATCCTTCTGCCTCAGCCTCCCAAAGTGCTAGGATTACAAGCGTGAGCCATTGTGCCCAGCTTGCATATTACTTGTTGAAGAAATATTGTGCCAACTCAAGACTAAGAGAGGCATAAATAATATGAGACTTTACTAACAAATGCAAGCATAATGAAATACCAATCTCTCTTCAATAATAGCTCTATAATACATAGATCTAAATAGAAAGAACCATATTATAAATATGTAAACATCTGTGGTATATTTCAGAGGTATTGCTAGGTCAATGGCACCTTAGTTAATAGTTTTAAAACAAATACTTTTACACCACAAAAGTTACATCTAGAGCACTTTTTAAACAGTTAATTCTTAATTATGGATATCACTTTTAAGTTCCTACAATGGGCCAAACACAGTGGTAAGCATTTTGCATATATTATATTTAACATTTGAAAAAAACATCACAGTAGATCTTACTATCCTTAGAAACCACTAGAGATTTAGTAACTTGCCTCAGGTTACCTATCAAGGATACATACTATCAACCTAATTTATATTCATTGTTGATGTTGACCTTTATCATCTGACTGAGGTAGTGTTTGTCAAGTTCCTTCACTATTAACTTTCTCTTTCCCTCCCTTTTACACTATATTTTTTGGAAGGAGGTCACTATGTGTAGCCTACAAGAGAGGGGTGAAGTATTCTTGAGGGTGAAGTATCTAAATAAACTACCTGGAATTTTTATTTATTTCTTCTCCATGTGATCATTTATTTATATGAGTATGGACATATAGGTATTTGTCTTATACTTTGGGTTATAATCCAACACTACCTGATTTTGTTGTTCAGATTTTCCCAGCTTTGGCCACTGGAGCTCTTTCAGTTGTCCTATGTCCTTTTAACATACTCCCATCAATGGAGGATGTTTTTCTGTTTGCTTTTGAGCACTTTCTTACTTTCTGGTACTATAAGATGCTCCAGGGCCATCGTACCCCAGGCCTAGAACAGGCCATTTCTTTAAGAAATCTTGGTTTCTTTTATTGGAGAATGGTGTTAGAAACCAAGATCTAGGCTCTAGGAATGCTGTTTGCTGCTTGGGGTGTCATGGCTTTTAAATTTTGGTAGCTGACAGACCAAGGAATTTTATACCTGTATAGTAAT